TGATGATGGTGATGATGATGATGTTGCTCTTCCTCCTCAGGTCCAGGGCAGTAATCAGGTCCAGCGAGCTCCCAGAGCGTTATTCTGTCTGAAACTCAACAATCCAATCAGAAGAGCCGCTCTCTCCATCGTGGAGTGGAAGTATCCTTTACTGCGACCAATCAGCTGTCAGCTTTACACTAGTTCCCTCTGTTATCCGTGAGTCATAAATTAAATGATTATAGTTTTGTCGCTGCTGAGCTTCCTTAACTCTTCTCTCAGACCGTTTGATATCTTCATCCTGTTAGCCATCTTTGCTAACTGTGTCGCTCTGGGAGTCTCCAAACCGTTTCCTGAGGACGACTCCAACTCCACCAACCACGACCTGGTGAGACCAAGTGCTAAATGAATGAATGAATGAATGAAGAGAGAGGACAGTCGGTGGACGAGTGGCTCTGAGGTGAGCAGACTCAGTTGTCGTTCACCTTTCAGCCTCAGGTTGTTTGTTAGCTCCTGTTAGCTCCTGTTAGCGCTGTTAGGCTGGGGGAGGCGGGGGAGGTGGGCCACCCTCCACTGATTAGAGAGGTTAACTCCGTCAGCTGATTTACAGCAGCAGAGGACGAAAGAGACGTTTTAATAACGTGAATATGAACAGCAGCTACGCTAACATTAGCCCTGCTCCCATTCTGTATGCTATGATGTGAAGCTCCTCCGTTCCCACTGTAAAGGTCAAAGGTCACAGATAGATACAGTAAATGATTGACAGCTCTGTGATCAGTTGAGTTTCTGCTCTGATGGCTCAGCTCTCTCTCTCTCCTCCTCTCTGCGTGGATGTCTCTCTACCTTCAGTTACAGTTGGACACTACTCAGCTCATAGAGTCAGTTTGTATTGAAGTGACACTGTGTGTTGTTCTTTGGTGCATGCTCTTTTCACTCTCACATGATCACATGAAAGAAGACAACTGATGAACAAGTGGAGGAAAAGAACTGGAGCATCAAACCAGTGAACCCAAAAGCAACAAAAATATAAAATGATGAACCTTTTTATTTATAATTCATTGAGGTGAATCAAACATATTCTTCCTGATACCGACACTAGTTTGTTGGTTTCCGTTTTATTCCACTTCTGTGTAGGAGGGATATTGAATATAAAATGTGATTTATCAAACATTCACATTTTTTTAAAGAACTTATAATTTATTTATTTGAGGAATTACATTACTTTTTTTTTTTTTTAAATCTCATGTAACCCCGGCAGGAGTACGCCTTACTTCTATTATTGTGTTTAAACGTGTTCAGAAAGCTCAACCTTTCCCCCCAAATAGCATTTGTTTATGATTGGGTTGGGGTCTTTAAACACACACAATACTGACAATACTGGAACACCGACCAGATTTAGCCCAAAAATAGACGTGCATATGACTTTGCCACTTGTTAGCTTTGTTTAAGACATGTAAACAGATTTTATTAAGTAGAACCAAAAATTCTCTCTAATTTAACCACAGACCTTTTTTCTCTGTTAGCTAAAATGCTAACTCAGTTCAGAACTCGATACGGGCAAAAAACAACCGACCAATCAGGCAACTGCTGTTCCTCTGCTCCATCCTCAACAAAATGAAGGTTGCTGGTTTGATTCCCAGTGTTTCCGAGTAGCTAACAGAAGGATTTATAGAGCGGATAAGAGACAGACATCAGAGGGCGAGTACGGCTCTGTGAGTGTGTTTGCTATTTTTATGAGCACCAGTTTGGATTTTAACACTGTTAGTGGGGACATTGAACCATCTTCACAGAGCTGTGTGGAGTTCAGAGCTTATTTTAAGGTTGCGGTTGCTGTTAGACGTTCAGTTGAGATGGTTGAAGTGAGTGTTGTATAAATATTTGTGTATTATGTCAGTGAGAGTCCTCACTAGTGCAGAAAGACATGTTTGTGTGTTTGTGGAGAAGGGATGATGACAGATTGGTAATCCTCTGAAATGCTCACAAATTCTCCACATCCACATTTACCAGGTCACACACGCACAAGCTTTCTGATTTATCGTGTAAACCCTATAAATGTCCTCCAGTGTTCAGAAAGCATTAAAGGTTCAGTTCACCCAAATTACTAAAAACACATTTTCTCATTCTTCTCTACTGGTTTCAAACCATCTTCAGTCGTCACTGTCTCCAGTGTGTTCTGTGGAGTTTTTCAGATTTGTAATTTATTCCCACAACACACAACACAAGTTTTCACCTTGTGTTACTTGCAGGAGTAACGCGAAAGTATTCTCCCTCTAATCTGTCTCACTGCAGCGGTATGAGCCCAGAATGAACAGATGTTTCTGTGATTTAATTTTAATAAACGGATCAAAATGATGCTATAATAACAACATCATGATGGCGATTTATAAAAAGTCTGAATTTAGACTCGGGTCTGTCCGCAAGACGACGAGCAAACAACTCTTAAAATGCTTGTTGCATTAGACACAGGGCAGAGGTCAGATCTGTGCGGGTACATGAGACAGTCAGACAAAGAAGAACTAGCTGGCCCAGGATTTTAGGCTTTTAAGGATGAGTCAAGGACAGTTTGACAATCGTCAATCATTGGACTGTTGAGGTTTTGTCTGCTCATATCCTGGGATATGAGGTGGAACTGGATCTGGTGTTGGTGTTGGTGGTATTTTGGAAGGACATCCGTCTTAGAGGTTCCACTGTGGTTCACAAATGTTTTAGCTCACAGATTAATTCTATTGAACTATAAAAGGGCTCAACTCCCACTTTCACCATGTTGATCAAAGATGTCATGCAACACCTTAAACTGCGCCATAAAAAAAGGTTAACGGTAATATTCCAGCAGCTTGGTGCCAAAAAACACAACAGTTAATAACTAATGAAGAGTTCTGTTATTATTTGATTTTCTTATTTTAATCTGAAAGTTATAGAACTGTAATTTTCACTACCCGGCTTAAAGCTGAGCAAAGAAGGGAACACACACAACTAAAAATAAGTTTATTTTACATAACTAAAAGAGAAATGAAGCTAAAGAAAGATTGCTGGAGCCGATTGCCTCCAGCCTATATAGTGTTGTCCCCAGGCCTGACTCCACCCACCAGGCTCTTGGGAGAGACCTGCTCAGAGCATCGTCACAGTAATAAAAGTCATTATCTGTGAAATTACAGTAATTATTGCTGTTTTCACTGATAAAAAACATTTATTCAATGTTTTTGTTGTGTAAACTTCTACAATTATACAAGATATCTGTCAATTAACAAACAAATCCATGTAAAATTACACAACAAATACTTGTTTACTGTTAATGTCACAAATTTGACATCATTTTAGATTATTTTATTATTTAATTTAATGTGAAAAAAGGACATTTTCTTTAAATAAGCAGTAATTTTATGATTGTTTACAGTTACATATTTTTCATATTATTTTACATTAGACATGTAAATACACAGGATATTTATGTAACTGTATTATCATTTTCATGTATTTAAAAAATACAGAAAAAATCTGTAAAATAAATGGGAAAA